AGGCAGGGGCACCACTGCCTGGCCAGGGTGCTCCATAGGCAGGGACTGCTCTAGGTGGGCCAGAGCAGCCTCTGTCGGCAGTGGGGCCCCCGCTCCAACCTCCCAAGTTCCAGCCCTCACCAGTTAACTTTAACCAGTAAACCTCACCTGTTAGAGGCGAAGCTTTTTCTGGTTAACCGGTTAAACATTCACATCCCTATTTAAGACTAGACTGATTTACATGCAGCAACCAATGGGAGGATTCAAAAGGGCACTGAGCCAGGTTTTGAAATGACATTACTTGAAAATTGCTGTTTTAGGGTCTCCTCTCCAACTGCCAAAAATGAATGCTAGTCAATGACAAGTGACAACTACCAGGCCACTGGTCCTTTAAAACGTCTCCAGCGTGAAAGCCAGGAAGCCTGCTGCCATAGGAAGAGCATGGTCGTACCACTATTGTGCATAGGGACAGTCTGGAATGTCATATTTGGATGGAGGAAAGGGGGAGATAATTTTCCAAGAGCTCCAAGGAATCTACCAGATTCTTGAGTTTCTACTGGCCAGTAAACTCAATGAAAACACACAAACTTCCCTACAATGTCGAAGACTCCCAAACATAACCTGAAAGGGCCATCTGTAGAAAGAAGATCATGCGTCTATGATCAGCCAACCTTGGCAATATCAACAGAGAGGCCAAAAGGGTGCAAGTTTTCATAAAACTAAATGTGAATTTCTGCATGTTGCAACTTTACCCTTGTGCGATCCAAAGCTGTAGTAATAACGTGTACTACATTGTAATGGGGGGGAGGTCTGTCCTTTTATATAATGTTTTTTTTCCCCTCTCTCTCACTTATCTCTCTCTCTCAAAGTCAACTCTCTGCTTTCTTCATATCACACATTAAAGATTCCAAAAGTTAACTCAGTGGGGAGGGAGCATAATCGGTTTAGCACTTTGAGCACATGCCTTGTGTGTGCCCAAACGAGAGTACAACACATTACCTGTTTCCTTAAGTCCTGAGCCGATTTATGAAGAGTGTGGTGGTTGTTAGCAGTAAGCCCTTTCGTTGAGGAGCCAGTATTTGTAGTATGATGGTGATTAGCAGCAGCCTGGTCTTTTCGGCTCTCAGCCCTGTGTTCATTGTTCCTTTCCTTTCCTGGTGTGGTCTCTTTGTTTCTGTGTTTCTGGGTAGGCTCTTTCTCCTTCGACGATTTGCTGGACCCGCTGAAGACTGGGAATTGAGAAGGGCAAGCAGGGGAGAGATGGGTTGGGTGCGAGAAAGAAAAACCCAAAATATATTTAAAACTAGCTTCTTCATTGAAAAAGATTACACAAAATGCAAGCTACTGTCAGCACTTGGTGTTTAGTAGGTACCTCATTATATACAAATCAGCATAAAGAGAAATAGAAACACTAGCAGGACTGTCAGGTTACATTTTGTCTACCTATCAAAACAGACTTCCTGGAAACAGCTAGAATCTTAGAGATTACCAAAACAAAGAGAGTTTAACATTTAAATTAACGTCCCCTAGGTATATTCCTGTTTTCATTGTTTGAATAAATACAGACCCACCAATTTCATGTTTGTTTAAAGTAAATTTCTAATCTGTTTTCTGGAGTTCCGCTGTTGGGGAGACAAGCAAGAGAATAGCGCTGGTTTAAAAAGAAACGTTTCCACCGCAATTTTTAAAAATTGTGGGAGGGTTTCTTTGGAGAACATTCTAGTAACAAAAACAACAAAAATAACCTGTTAACCCAAATGGGTTCAACAACTTTCTTTTAATGTGTTTTCTTAAAGCAATCATATGCTGCAAATAGAAAAAGATGCCTTAAGAAAGAAAAAAAATACTATTGACTAGGGATGTTAAGGGGCAATCAGTTAACCAATTACCTAATAAGTATCACCCACCATGGGGCTGGCAGAGCCGGCTGCCCCACGAGGGGCCAGGAGCCGGCATCCCTGTGGACTAGGAACTTGTTCCAGGCAGGCTGGAGCAGTTCCCCACCCGGGATCTTGTTTAATTGGTTAACCAGTCTAACCTAATGCTTAATCGGTTAACTGATTAAACAGGATTTTACCTCCCTACTATTGACACGAGAAAATGAATTACTTCGCAAAGATGTTATTTTGAATTTGGTTTATAACACACTCTAGGTATACATCCATAACTACTAGGAGTGATGCCTGTTTGAAAAACTTGTCTAGGTGAATTAAATGAAATGCTTCTACTCTGTTAACATGGCACACATGCTTGCCATGCTTTCTGTTAGATCCAGCACGGTCTGGATGCTCTCTTTCGAAAAAGCCCTGTTTGCATTACATAGCGCCTTTTTTCGAAAGAGCACTTTTGAAAAAAGGCAGTCTTCCTCATAAAATGAGGTTTACCAAAATAAAGAAAAATGCCGCATTCTTTCAATTTAATTTCGAAAGAACACGGCGGAAGTCTAGATGCAGGGGAAGTTTTTTCAAAAAAAAGGCCACTTTTTTCAAAAATAACCTTGTAGATCAGACACACCCCTAGAGACTGCCTCAATGCTGACTGCTCGCTCTCCCCTCTTCTACGCCCCCTCCCAGCATTTGTTCAAAACATCAAGCATGGAGTGGTTATTTGGATTATTTATCAAGTTGAGTTGTGCGGTAATGGTGAAGAAGATGACTGTAAAACTTTGAGATGAGTTGCGTAACTTTACTCTTACATCTCCTGCACCTCCCATTTCCTGGTGCACAGAGCAAGTGGAAGCTACTCTTATGCTAGAAAACCCTGAAAGGATGATCTCAGGATTAACAGCATTAGAGCGAGATGTACAAGGACTGAGATGAAATCTAGACTGCCACAAAATTACTGCAAGTTTTGTCCTGACTTTAATGGAGCCAAGATTTCACCCAATTTCTAATCCCAGTTCTGCCACAAACTTCCTGTATGACTTTGGGCAAATCCACTCGAGTCTGTACCTCAGTCTCCCTATTTGTTAAGTGGGAGTGATAATATATCGCTATGTCTTAAGAGGCATCAGAAGGATAAATTTATTTTTACTTGTAATGAAATACTAAGATCACACAGTCGGCACAATAAAAATGCTATGTTATTAACTGAGGATGAATGTGCAAAAATACTGTTTTTTAAAATAAGATGCACTATAGTTAAATGATGAGTGACACCTTTGTTAAAAACATATTTTATCACTGGATATAAGTGCATTTTTAGTCAGTGGGAAACTGGGTAATTGGGTTCACTGCATAAATAGATCTGCATGCACAGACCATAAGTCAGAGGATATATATTCTGGATCCAGTTGCCACTTTATATATATGTTTTTGCAGATATAAACAAAAACATAGCCAAAAAGTCAAATGCTATACGTATATATGTAACTGTGTGTGTGAGCAAGAGAGAAGGTATATTTTGTACTCAATGGCTCATTAATTTTAAGTGTCGTGGGAACCCTGCCAGTTTTACCCTTCTGAGTAATTATCTTTTGTCTTAATTTGTAAGATTCTTGAAAGTGGGAAAGGGAGAAGTAGAAGAGGAAAAATGTATTCAGTCTCACAGGAAAAGCTTAAACCCTGAAAACATAAAAGAAAGAGAGAGAAAACTAGATGCAAAGCAGTCCTAGTCACACCAGCCCTAATTAAAACAATAATTGGTATCAGCCTCTTTAAAGATCACTATTCATTACTTGGAACAACACTTAGAACTCATATTATGCCCATATATAAAACACTGCTATAATAATGAATACAAGAAAATACACGTATTTGTATACAAACCTCTCAGTTACATTGGGCTTTAACGCTACAGAAAATCAAACATTTACAGTAAACATAAAAATCCTGATTCTGATTTCATCTAATGAAAGTGAGAAGTAAATGCATTTAAAGTAATGCAGTTACACTAGTGTAAATTGGTGTAAGTGAAATAAGATTCAGGCCTGAAGACAAAAGGAAATGGTAAATGTCTCACCAGATGAGCAAAAAATTAAGGGAAAAATCAAAATGCCAAAGAGTCTTTGGCTAAAAGAAAGCAATACGCACTTGCCTATGGGAAAGAAAACTGAAATAAAACTAAGACTAAATCTGATTTAAAACAAACAGCTACTAATTCCTGTGGTTTGCTCATATGCAGTGAATTCCACTTCCCTTCATGCCTACTAGCACTTCAATACTTAAGCTATGACTGTTTAAGAAAGTAGGAAGGTCACACATTTATAGCTGATCTCAACAAAACTCGAATATACATGTTTGGTCATTATAGTGACAGTGTCTGCATTCTCAGAAATACTCTCATCAGCCCGCTAGTCAAATTTCTGCTTTTCGTATAGCAGTTTGCTTACTAAGGCTTTGCCTACACTGGCTGATGTTATAGGTACATAATTTCTTGGTCCATTCTGTGGGCTAGACAGCAGTTACAGTGGTTTATGCTGTAAGTTTCTTGCAACCAATTATGTACAGGTTGAACCTCTTTAGTCTGGCACCCTCAGGACGGGAGGTCAATATGGACTATTAGCATTATCAACACTTCCACTGCTTACTGGGCTCTCAGAAGACAGTTAGGGGTAAATTAGCGCTAAATAACAGTATAAAACACTGAGAGCCAGGACTGGTGGCTGTAAACAAACTTTATGGGACTGTGGGAAACTTGGTCACACCCATGATAAATGGACATCCAGTTAAATAAATCATGGATGTTGCCGGACCAGAGAATGCTGGACTAGAAAGGTTCAACCGGTAGTTTAAAACTATGGGTAAACAAGTATGTATTGTGAGAGACGAGGAATATTATGGGTTTAAAATATTTTTGTTTTGCAAGCCTTCAAAGCTAAAATGCAGAGTTTTGTCCTATTCTGGCACCTATTGTAAGCAAGGTCTTTCACAGAGCAGTCAGTCCATATAAAACTAGCCCATGTGAAGTAATAAGTCTTTTACTCTAATTTCAGTTCCATTCTTTTTCGGTTTCAGGCTCCTCTACTCCGTTCCTCAGGTCAGGTATCTCAGCTACAGAAAATCCTCAAGAGTTCCAAAATGTGTTGTCTAATTTGTATTTAGGATATGCAAATTACTGCAGAATGGGTAATTTTCATGTTATCAATATTTTTGCAGAACAGTTACACATGCAAAAATATGTTTATTGCAACAATTACTGGTTTTATGATATTTCAACAAAAGGCTGCATATCACAGACATAATTGGCAACTTACTTTCTAGGCTAGCACCATGCCCTCTAAAATATTCTTGTTCTACATTGTAGCTGGGGACAGCAGATACGCTTTTGTGTTTTTTTCCTTGCCAAGACAAATCCAGTTTGATGTGACAGTTGTACCTCATGCATATATCCCAAAATATCAAACTCAATGCAAAATAAAACTGAGTAGCATAATTTGCTTCAATCATACATTCCAGATTCCCATGCAAACATTCAGAAACACTGATATGCATAAGTGATTCTACTTATGGCATAGCACACATGACCAATACACTGAAACGAAGAATAATAGCCACCCCCGAGCTCTCACAAGGAATTTGTTTCTACAACTCTGTGTATGTACTGAGAATCATTTTGCTAAATTACCCATTGCAAATTGAGACCTGAAGTGTTCTTCAGTGTTTTTCTTTCCTCACTTTTTATTTTTCTAAGAGCAGGCTGCACTAAAATCCAATATAGTATTTGCTGTGATGTCTCCTTGCTTTATCCGAAGGCTTGCTCTACGTTAGAGTAAAAATGTATTTGCCAGAAATGTTTTTAAATGTTGCCATTACAATAACAGGTTTTTTTCTTTCCTTCTGCCTACTAGAGGCAAAAGTCCTAACAGCAGAAGCTTGACAAACCACCTTCTAGAGAACATCTTTCAGAAAAAATAGTTTATAATGATCTCTGATGCGGTTAGCCTCAATCTGCACTAGCAAAAGAAATAGACTTTTATTCTCCATAAAAACTACCTGGGATGGTTGAAGCACACTGAGATGCTTACCGGGCAAGCAGTTGGGTGCTTCAGCCCAGTTGGACCAACTACGCCAGGCCCAATCGGAACAGCTGCTGCCCACAGTGCAGTGGGCCCAGCATGAGCAGAGCAGCCCATGGTGCCTGTGGTGCACCAGGCTCAGCCCAGCCTGATCAGAGCAGCCCATGGTGCAGAAGGGTCCGGGTGGGCTGGAGCAGCCCCCAACCGCCATTTGGTGAGATCAGCCCGGCCAGGCTCATTGTGTTGCACCATGGATGGGGTCTGCTCCAGCCTGGCTAGACCAGTCCAGCCAACTGTGGGCAGGGCACTGCTCCAGCCCCACCAGGCCTGCCACGATGCGGGCCTGCTCCAGCCCAGCAGGGTTGAAGCGGCTCCCCAGCCACAGGACCCCATTTAACTGGTTAATTTTTTAAATAGGATTTTACCTCCTTGTAAAAAAAAATGTGGGAACCTGAAACCTTCATGTTATAAGAAATTAGCCAATCATTTAAGCTTCTTAGTCTGCCACAATCTAATTGACATGGTTCTCCCATTTGGGGGAGTTGGCAGACATTTTAAATGCAATGCACATCTAGGCACTGGCAATTATGGAGGTATGTGCTCAAGGTCAAAATGAGTGAATGGTTCACTTGAGATTAAAATCCAGCCTCCAGAACTTCTGTTCTAACTCGTGCAACACAGAGTGTGCTCTGTTTTCCATAAATTAATGCTGAAATTCACCACAAACTTTTTATAACATGTAGCAGGAAACTTGAAGTTAAAAGGCAATCACATGCTTTTAAAAGAATAGAGAGATGCCTGATGCATGTTCTATAAATCTATTTAAACAGTTTTAAAATACTATAACAGCAAGAGAGATTTTTTTTATATTCTTACTAAAGATTCATATCGCCTCTTAGCTAGTAAGATAGCCTTTGAAGTCAGCTGCAGAGTGGAAACCAAGGGATTCTATTGATTAGCTTCTAGCTTCACCATTTTAACCTTGGTATGAATCCTTAAGCAATTAAAATCACTCTTAGAGCTCAATGCCACATTTAGCTTTAGGGGTTACTCATCTTTCCCTTCCCCTGAAAGATTCACACAATGAAGGGGGAAAAGTCTTTGGAATTTTGTTGTTGTCTGTGCTTTAGTCCATGACCATGCTAGATACAAGAATTATCACTTTTATTCTATGGTACTGTTCACAAGCAGCTAGCTACAAATACTTTCCTTTAGAAGAAATGCTGCTAAGTTCATTTTAACCAGCTTGCTTTCTTATCTGGCTCATCTTGCCTCCTACACATTTGAAAATAATTTAGAAAGCAAAATTATTTGAAGTTCCCATGAACAAATCTAAAACAAGCTAGATCTGGTGTGTATGGCGACACATTACAAGATAAACCTTAAACAGTGTACAAAGGATGTAGATATTAATTTTTTTTTCAACCAAATGTTAATGTCTGACCAAGACAAAAAGCCTGGAAAAGATTTCATTAAGATCATCCAAGCCTTTAACAGGGGCTACTGCAAACTCATTTTAACTCATTTAACTCTGCTACATTATCCACTAATGAACTGCAATATGGCAGTGATTGCAATATGGCACCAATTTTTAAAAGTAGAGCTCCACCATTTTCCTTCATGGCAACTGCAGCAATCTCTCAGAAAACAGTTTAACCACAAAATTATTGCTGCCTGAACTTTGATATTGCGTCAGGGACAATGCCTACCACACCACTGCATATTTCTTTTACCACTCTAGCATGAGAGGTGTTTTTTTTGGGGGGCGGAGGGGAGAAATAGTTATTTCCCTTTACATTCTCCTACTCTATATTGTACATAGATACTCACGGCATGCTGGAAATACCAAGGACGTGGGAATATAACGATATGTGTAATAGTGCAATGCTGTAATTATCTTTGAGAATACAGCAGGGCAGGAGGAGAGAAGTCAATTCACTCATTTCTCTTATATAAGTGCAGCTAATTAAAATTAGGGATGTAAAAGTTTAACTGGTTAACCAGTAAGCATTGCCTTATCATCGTGCTTACTGGGTAAACTGTTAACCAGCACAGCCCTCCCACCCGCGCCCATGGCACGCAGTGCAGCAGACCCTGTCCAGCCCAGCTGGGCCCGCCATGCCTAGCATGCTCCAACCCATCTGTGCAGGAACATTATTGCCCCCTCCCAAGCTCCAGCATTCTCTATCCGCGGCGTGGCAGGTAGTTAACCAGTTAAATGTATAGTTGTACCGGTTAACAATTTACATGGAATTTTATATCTCTAATTCAAATGTATAAAAGTTTCTAATGTGTGTCTATTTTCTAGTTAGGCAACCACCAAACAAAAGGCTCAAGAGGTCACAAAAAGCATGTAAGAATGGGGTACTCCAACAGCACATCATATTACTTGCTATAGGCCAGTGCCATCATCCTGGTAAATGTTCATGCCATCCTGGAAATGTAACACGTCTTCCTGTATTTATGAGGAAGCAATTTGACGTTATCTAATGACATTGATCAAGCTTTGAACCTTTGTTGTTTTATGTTATAGCAAATATTTAACATTTTCCGGCCCATAGTGTTTGTCAACACATAGTACTGTAAAAATAAAAAGACTTTGGTCCATTAAAAATTGACTCTCATGCTAGATTAAGCTTAATTGGAGCAGCCATCCCTGTCTGCTTTTGAATGTGGTCTCATTAAAACAGACACACACAAACCAGAACCTGCTTTACGCAACAGGAATCAAAAACATTACTGGCTGCCAACAAATATGACAGACATTGGGAAATCTAAGGTACTCTCAAGCAGGATAGTTTTTAAAGCCCAAAGCACCTTCTGCGGGAGATTCTGTTTCATCACCTTTGACAAAGCATTTCACCTAATCCCTCATGTACTGTATAAAGGTCTTCAGCATAACTGCTAATGCATAAGCCTCACTTATATTGACTCTGATTAGTGATGAAGCATATCAAGTCATTATTAAGGGTGAAAATAATTAACACTTTACCCCCAATTGAGGATTCAGGTGTGTCTAGTTTCAAGCTAATTTCAACATGACTGCACTTCAGGGCATTCTCAAAGAAAATGTACTAATGTACAGTAACCCTTTAGGCACAACATATGCAGCATGCATTCAGAGCCCTGAATCTTACGAAGCCAAGAGTCTCATTTGTGCGACACATAATTCTGTACTTGTAAATTCTAGACTTTGATTCAAGTTAATCAACGATGTTAAGATTCAGGCCTTGAACTATAGTATTGCCAGGTATCCTCTTCCGTTCTATTTTTCTGCAACTGGCACCCAAAACAAAGAAATAAATATGCACTGTCATGTAAGAAACACCTTAAATGACACACATAATAAAAGACTTCATAGAGTTTACCCAGAAACGAGTGCCTTATGGGAGTTGAGATTTGACTGAGTATTGTGACCAGGCGGGTGGATGTATACGTGAGGAGAGTCAGAAGAAACAGAAACTGAGAATACACAGAAAAGAGAGACAGTGGCAAAGCAGAAAAGAGAGCTAGGAAAAAAACCAAACATTTTAGGGTGTGATGTTGGCTAAAGAGGCTTGGGTGGCAAGTTACAAAATTGTTCCTTTTCTACTTGGTTCCTCCTATGTTTGGAGAAGCAGAATTTTGTATATTCCTTATAAATAAATCAAATTGCATCAAAGTACCAGACTCCATCGACTTCTACTTCCAAATAGAATCTCCTCCGAGTCCTAAACTGTGACTGCTTGCTTGCGTCAAAAAGGGGCAATGATACTACAAACCGTTCCACATAATGAAAACACTTGTGCAAAATGTAAACGAGGCAAGAGACAGTGGAGAAGCCTGGATCTCCTCGTGTTTTCCTTAGAAGAAAGAAACAGCAAAAAACTCAGGTGCAGACAGCAAAGCCACTTCCATCTTCCATGGAAAGCTGGTTATGACAAAGAGTCTGTACCCTCCTGAAGAAAGGAGGAGACAGGATCTGGCAGACATTGCAGATGCAGCTCTTAACAGCAAAGAGATATTGTGGAAGGATAAGGGGAACACAAAATTTGGTTATTGAAGTGAACACCCCTGATTTTGACGATGTTGATGTCAATTATCCCTTATGTTTTTTGGTGGTAACGGGACATGGAGACTCAGGTTCTCTTTACCCTGGCTAGTAAGATCTCGAGGTTAGTAAGTGTTGAGTAAATGGTGTGGTGACACACACTGATTAATTTATTTGGATATGATACGAAGACCATATGGAATAAGACAGGTTGCAAATAATGAAGCTCTGATGATCTGCACAAAAACATCATATGTAGGGGTGGAGTCCTATGCTACAGACAAGGCTAAAACTGCAGCTTAGAAACTCACTGGCCAATATGCTAGCAATATCTCACATCAGAAATTAAAATGCTCCGTCCTGGATATATTTTGGTGACATTTATTGATTATTTTGTGTTTTATAGTTAACTTCAACAACATTAAATCATTCCATATTAAATAGCTAAGACAAGGCAGCTAGGAAATGCCAAACAATGGCATTAGGGATTAGGAAAACCATTTTCACTATGTCGCTCTAACCATCTTCTTAGTTGTTCGTTTGTATTTCTCCCATAAACAAAAAGAATTGCCGCCTCTAGACAGACGCTGCTGGATAAAAGGGAAGATGCTAACCATTTTCCTAGCATGGACAGTATCAGTTTTCTCACAGATGTGAAGTCTCTGCAGGGCTGAGAATATAATTCACTTCTTAGAATTCTTTAGCAGGCAGCGTCCCCCGCAACCCCCACCCTCTCTTCTCAACTGTACACTGCTGGAAGACAGACAGAATGATTTAGAACCTACCATGCCCATTTGGAACGTGCTTATGTGTTTTTCCTTTCCTGGGGGTTGACTGGCATGAAGATGAAGCATTGTTTGTGGTTGCCTTTGTATCCTCTGTCTCCTCATCCTCTTCTTCATCCTCCTCCTCATCCTGAGAGCTTCCAAAATATACCATGTTGCTGGGCAGAGCTGGAGAACCTGATCATTATGAAGAAAGGCTCATTAATGTCATTCCATTATTCTTTTGCGCTACCAGCATTAATCACAACCTAATTTAGTGTTAAACATAGCAGAAAGAGAGGTCAGACTAATGCATGCCTTCAGTTTCAGTAATGCTATTACAAAAGGGATGTATACAAAGGCCACACTTCCAGACTCTATTACTAAGTTAAACAAAACAAAAAAAATCTTCCTAGAAGCCCTGACTAGCAGTCCTACTTATTCAACAAGACATTTAAGCACATGCCTAAAACTGAACATGTCTTTAAGTGATTTGCTGGACAGTGGTGGTCTTAGGCATGTGCTTAAATGTTTTGCTGAACTGGGGCCAAACAGAGTATGAATAAGCTAACCTACAAACCAGAAACATCTTAAAGTAATAATACTTAGTATTTGTAGTGCTTTCCCGCCACAGATCTCAAAGCACTTTACACAGATGGATTAATGTCGCCATTACAAAAGTAGAACAAAAAATTAGGCACAAAGTTCTAAGTAACTTGCCTAAGTTCACCCAGAAGATCAGTGGTAGAGGGTAGAACAGAATCAAGGTGTCTTGATTCCCTGTCCAGTGCCCAGTCCTCTAGACATGCCCCCTCCCAGATCTCCTTTATGTAATAAGATGTGCCATCTCATCTAACTTGCACACAAAATGACAAGTATTTTTAAATGCACAATTCAGTTAGGGGCATATGAGAAACCAAAAGCTGTGCAGTGAATAATAAGCCAATATTAAAATTTAAAATCCTGGCACATTCCTTTCCTTGTTCATGTGAGTGCATGGGTTTTCCTGTACTTCTCAAGGATACATCATCTCACTCTAGTAAAAGGCAAATATTAGTGACACCTGAAGAACAATCTTCTGTCTCATGCGTTAAAGGTATGAGTATTAGTCAAGAGAGTGTTCTGTTTGATCCCATCAGGGACAGATACCCAAAGACTATTCTATGAAGGTATACACACTGAGGCTGTAAGGATATAGTCGACCACCTGATAAGCATATGCTTATCGAGTAGTTGAGTCAACTACTTGCTTGCCCTTTACCTTTCTGCATCTTTGTCGGGGGAGGAGAGAGAGGGAGGAGCAAAAGTCGATGTTCGGGGGGGCCCCTGGGCTCTTACTACATTTAAAAGGCAGAGCCGCAGTGACGTTAGCATGAGCTGGGGCTACTTAGCATCCCCGGGAGCCATCCCCACAGCAGCTCCGCAGTTTAAATGTAGTAGGACCAGGCTGCTGCGCACCCAGCTCCTGCTACATTTAAATTGCAGAGCCCCGGCAAGCACCCCTTTCTCATCAACTAATCAAGTAGTCAGTGGAAATTCCATCCACTACTTAATTAGCTGATTAAATGCCATTTAACATCTTTAATACACAGAACGGTTTATTGATGTTCAAAAAAAATATATCTTCCTGGAAATGGGGCTTGTTAATACACTACTGTCCTATTGCTAATCAAGACTGGGAGGTCTACAGAGCTTCAAAAAGGAGTTTGCCATTTGGTATGAGAGCTTCGCTGCAAACCTTTTTAACTAAACTCTTTGGAGCAGCTATTACACTTGTTTAATGTTTCTGGTGCCTTAGTGTTCACTTGCTGTGACTTGCTGTGTGTTGCTACCCCTACAGTTTCTGCACTATAGAAATGATGCATTGTTATAAAGACAAAGGCAACATCTACACTGTACCTCTCTTGCGCAAAACCTATGCAAATGAAGCATGGCAATATGTTAATCTGTGCTTCATTTGCATAATTAATTAGGGGCCGTTTTTGCGCAAAAGCCTCTTGCGCAAAAACGGCCCCTAATTAATTATGCAAATGCAGCATGGCAATATGTTAATCTGTGCTTCATTTGCATAATTAATTAGGGGCCGTTTTTGCGCAAAAGCCTGTTGTGCAAAAACAGCCCCTAAGCAATTATGCAAATGAAACTTGACAATGCGCTAATCTGTGCTTCATTTGCATAGGCTTTTGCACAAGAGAGGTGCAGTATAGATGTAGCCTTACAGTTTGAATTAATCCTTGAGTTTAAATGTTTCCTGGTTCAACTGGACATCAGAAAAGTGTTTCTCACCACAAAAATATGCTGGCAGAGGGTAATGAACCTATACATATTATCTGATACCCCTTTGGAATAGTGGCTAGAATATGAACCTCACAGTGAGGGTCACTGTGATTAGCATTTGAACCCTGGTCTCCTCAGAAGTAAAAACAAAATAAAACTAAACAAAAAACAAAACAAAACAATTTTGGGGAGCTGGCTGCTTTGCGATCCTGAAGGCAAGTTGTTTTCTAAGAAGAAACCCTATTTCCCCTCCTGGGCCTTGTCATCTGGGTTAGCTATAGCAGCAAGACACACCTGATTTCAATAGCTCCAGTAGCCCTAAGAAGAGCTGTAGGGGGCCTGCCAACCGTATCCCCTCCAAAAATATTTCTGACAAACTGAAGAAGAACCAGCCTTCTCCCCCAAACAGATAAGGAGCTAAGGGGCAGGGAGTAGCTGCTCACGTGGGGAACAGGTGGAGAACGTGAGGCTCTCAAGTAGGGCACTGAAGACACCTGGGTTCTAACCACATGTAGTAAGTAGTCTCTGTCCTCTGCTTCTTCAGCAACCTTTGGGTCTGCTGTGGGAGAGCAACAAGCAGCTACCTCTTTTCCTCTCCCGCACACTCACCCCTAACACAAGAAAAAGAGAGACAGCGAGGGAACCCTCCTGCAGTGTGTAAAGACCTGTAGCCAAGTGAAGAACCTCAGGTCAAAGGCTACTCCATAGGACCATACAGGCAGAAGCAGTTAAATGGGTTCAGTTTCTCACTCCTCCTATACTCCCATCATTCCCCCTATACTCCCATCTCCTCTCCACTTCATCACTATTACATACGCAGCTTTGCATCTATTCCGGCAGGCATGGCAATTATCTGCTAGACTAGAGACCACGTAGGTGAGGCCACGTCTTCCTTAAGGCTGAGGCTGCCATTAGAAGCAAGAGCTAAAGCTCTACCTAGTGGCAGCCAGTGCTGTCCCCTGATACCATCAGCACGGTGTAGATAGGACCAGCAACACCCAACACAGGATGGTGCTTTTCTTTGCTAAATTATAATATGTTATACACACACACCCAAACACCTACATTGGTCTATTACAAACGCTGACCATCGCATTTCTACAGAATGAGGATCAACAAGAACAGGATTTCAGATGTGCCTCAAGGCATGAAAATGGAACCAGCTAACAAAAAAGGAACAGGGTATTTTTCTGCAGGAGAGAAACTTGTGTCACGCCATACGCAATCATTGAGGAAGGGAAGAACTGCTTAGGAGTAGGGTGAGCTGACATCACATATGAAAAACCAGGATAGGTGGTATGTAAGACAACCTCCCAAATATATCACAGCTGTTCCTATAAAATCGGGGCATCTCTTCACCCAAGCTGGGTGGAAAATAAATTATTCTTTTTGGACTGGCCCATCTCTTCTGCAGTAACTGTCTCAAGCAAGCAATTAGGGATATAAAATCCCGTTTAATGAATTAACCAGTTAAATGTTACAGCACAGGCTGCTCCAGCCATGCTGGGTCGAGCCTGCTGCAGACAGGGGTGACTCAAGTTAGGCCAGGTCACAGTGCATCATACTTGCCTGGGCTGGAGTGTACCAAGCTGTGGCACAGCAGGCCAAACCAAGCTGAGACAGACAGACACACACTTTAGCTCAGAGCATGTTATAGTACAGTATAAATTTGCTCAAAAAAGAATGGAGGGGCTAACCCAGTGGAAGGCACAGCAACAGCCAGCCACCTTTCTTGGCCGCATTCATCCCAGAAACATGCCATCTCTCGTCGGAATACTTTTTAAATTATTTTCAGTTGCAAACTATGAACAATAAGGGTTAAACCACATTCCTCTGACAGCTGGAACTGGTGGGGGAGTATATTTCCAGTTCAGGGAAATTAGACTAGCAGCTTCCAAATCATGCGGTAGAATTGCACTAATTCTCACTTCACTAATCTAACGAGTCAGGAGTATAATGCATCACAGAAAATCTAGTGCCCCCTCCACCTTTCACCAGAGATTTATTAAGGTGCCTTTCAAAAAAAGGAGGAAGACCTTATGCACTTTTAAATATACATAGAGAAGGCTGATTGGGATTTTTATTTTTAAATTTAGGAAGGGTTGGGTTTTTTCCCTGCTTTCTGTTTACATTAAACCTTCAAGTTCTGTATAGCCTAGAAAACATGGACTCTACTACATCTAAGGTTGTCCTGGTTTGACTGAAGGTGTGATTTTAAATCAGTTTACTTAAACAGATACAAATGGCTGTTCCACCACCCTTATTCAAATTTAAATTAGGTTTACTTTATTTGGGTGTATTAGGAATCAGCTTAAACTGCATTGAGATAAACCACTTTTATAACGAAATAATGCCCACACCAAAGTTTGCACTAATTTAAGGAAAACAGTTTATCTATGTGCAAGATTGTACACAGATAAGAAGTAGCATTTTGTGAGCATTTTTGACCACCACTGTGCTCTAAGGAGACTTTTTTACAGTGACTCTTTCTTGACAGGGAACAGATAATTGAGAATCCATCTCTTCTGGTTCTTTTATTAAATATCAGCTAAGCATATTTTCAGGTAACCTCCCATCAACATCTGTGGTTTCACAATTAAATTTGTCTTTCTTGTGTTTTCCTCTTCTCTGATATTGTGAAAAAGATCTACCAAACGAAACTGACTACACACAAAATGCTGCCTAATGCATAAAGCTAAATGTTATTTAATCTTCTTCAGTTAGTCATCTTAAGTGTTATTTGTATAATAATAGGAATAAAGTTAGATTGAGGTGAGTTGTTAAATTGATGGATTTCCTTTAATAATCATCTCAGAAAAAAATGTGAGTTTTTCATGTGCAAAACTTAGACTTGCATATAATGCAGTATACGGGTGATGTAGGGGGTTTTCAACTCAGGCAACTACCGCCTACACTACTTGA